TATTATCATTATTATCATCATCATACTTACTTGTGCACCATGTTTGGATCTGCCAGCATAGCTATCAACTCAGGGTCCTGGATCATGGCTGAAATGAGGAACAGACTGACATTTCTTTGTCACTGCCCAACTGACAGTTTACTTACAAAGTCTACCCACAGCTGTTGTTACAACATTTAAAATAAGTTCTATTATAACAACAGTCACACTTATGCAGCTATTTCAGTTACTGAATACTTTTTTTGTTATATTACTGATATAATATAATATAATATAATATAATATAATATAATATAATATAATATAATATAATATAAACTATCAGTACCTACCCACAGCCACTGGGTCTTTGTCTAGTTTGGGAGTGGCAGCTATTATATTATCTACAGTTTCAGAGTTCTTCAACATTTGTTCCAACTGGCAAAATAAAAATAATATCATGTAAAAAATATAAATATTAATGTCAAAATTTTGAATAAAAAATTGATCACCATTTTTGCTGCACTTTCATTACATGCACCTTTAAGTTAGCTTTGGAACAGCCATGAAATTAAGAAAATAACTGAGTTGCCAACAAAATATTTTTCAAAATATAATTATCTATTATTTATAAAGCTATAAACAATGGCATAACAGCTGAAAATGAAGGAAACCAGTTAAAACTGTGTGGAATCTATATATAAAGCTGGTAACAGTGTATCAGTCTCTCAATAAAATGCTTAGAATATTCTATATTTTCCTTAAAATATAAGAAGATAATCAGCAAATGTCCTGAAGTGAGTTCAGATATATGTGTGTACTCACCACTGCCCTGTGACTAGGGTTAATTATGGCAGCTTGGAGAGCTGTCACCACTTGTTGGATAGATGCTTTATCCATTTTTTCTGAATAAAAAGAATTGAAAATATGTACATATGCATATCCTTGATTCATAAGCTGGCATATATTGAACAGATACTAGTAAATCAATGTCAATATCAGAATAAAGTTCATTACATGTCCAAATGAGAAAGAACAAATGAATGACAAGAAAAATAATTAAATGACAATAAATTTATGATCATAACAACCACAATTTCATACCAAGTGGCTGTTCATTGTCTTCTATGTTGGTCTTCTTCAGTGCATGAACTGTTGTCCCTGGCTTCACTCCATAGGACTCCAACGTTTCATCATCTTGGAGACATCGTCCACAGTAAATTAGCTCTAAAAAATAAAACAAAAAATAAGTTATGGCTTTTACATTGTATGTTGTTTGGCTTAATTTTAAACTTTCCTTTCATCACTTTGACAGTTAAAACCTTATCTTGCAATAATCGCAACTGGTGTGCAACTGGTGAATTTGTGTGTGCCATTAGCAGATATTTTATGTACCCTATTTTAGCATTGGGACTGCCCCCCTCCCTTCACACACACGCATGCATGCACGCACGCACACACACTCGAATCGTGTACTGTACATATGGCAAAGGCTAAGCCAAACATAACAAAAATTATCAACAGCAGAAGGAAGGTATATGGACATTTTTAAAAAAGAGCAAATATATGCTGCCAGTTGAAATTGTCACAAGTTATAATCGGTAGATCTACAAATACAAAAACTAGTTGGTAGACTTTATTAGTCACATTAGTTTTGACTGTGTACTAGTGTTAACAATTATGACGTTTATTCTAACGTAGGGATACATCCTATGCATTCTTTTGCATAAAATACCTTAACATTTAGCAACTCACTGTTAAGCAGGCCAATGCGGTTGCGAAAAGTAAGAAATATTTTTTTAAAATCTTATTTCACCTATTTGTTCCTTTGGCAAGTTCGTCTTCTGTGATGCAGCAATACGTAATTTACCAACATTGTCACTTAAATTTATCGAATCAAGCTTTATTCTCTTGGTTTTCCCCACTGTACAGCGGTCGCAAAGCACAATGGTCGTCGCCATGTTTTAGTTTTGACGCAAATGGGTCATTAGGTCGTGATTCGTTAAATCAGAATTTTCAGATTCAGTCCATATTGTTCATCATACATAAATACCTGAGAATATATAGCGCCAACTTCGAAAGAAACAGAAGGAGAGAAAGGGGAAAGGTGACATTTTTGTTATTTTAATGAGCATCAAAATATTCACCGGAGATTGTAACAATCATGTTGTGCCTGACTAGGCACATCTATCGCATTCACTGATTCACTTTCTTTGCTTGCGGCGATGGAATTTATTTATTTGTCCTAAAATATCTAAAAAAAAAATCTACATCTAACTGTTGTTTGTTCTCTTAGAAGATTAAAAGCTAATATGCATCTTCATGAGAAATCAATTCCCAAATTGGCAATGACATTTTCATTTTTTGTTTTTGTTTTTTTCTTAAAAGATCATTTGTTAACTTTAGGTATCAAAACTAAAAGAGCTTTTTGACACAGATAGGCCAAAAGGGAGAAAATTCCTATGCCAGCATTGGAGGCCTTTTTCTAATATTTTTCCAAGAAAAACAAATTAATAAGAAATTAAAAAAGAAACCCTAATGATAAAAACAAAATGCAAGGATTTCAGAAATATCGCACCTGTTTTTGAGAGAGAAGAGTAATAGTGAAACCGAGTCCAGTATATGGAGAGGGTTTGTTTTTTTGGGGTCCGCCATATAGATAAACGTCCCAATAAGATATTCGCCCCGATAGATACGTCTCTATACATACACGTCTCAATAGATTTACGTCTCGTTAAATTTACGTTCCGATAGATCCACCAACAGATTCCTATAAACCCACGTATCTTTAGATCCAGGTACCGCTAGATCCATCTACCTGACATCGTAATCGGCTAAAAGGCCCATATCAACTTGCGTTGTGAACTTTAGAACACATTTTTATGTTCTTTTTTGTTTTGTTTTGTTTAGAACACATTTACATGTAAATTCAGAACACTTTTTACGTGTTCGAATGTTGCATTTTGAGAACGCTTTAAACAGTGTTCTGACGCTAGAACAGTAANGCTCTTTGAAAATAACACTCAGGCAGATTTTTACCTGAGATAAATATCGCCAGATATTCTCAAGAAAGAGGGTACAGAAGAGTTGAAGGCCACTGAACCCTCCAATTAAGAGGTAAAGGAAGTTTCAGTTAGATGTACGATTAAGATAGGACCTGTTAAGGTTACAGGCATTGTTTATTTCAGTTTGCAAGACGGGGGGGAAGGGGGGGGGGGTCAGAACAATTGTGCCTAATACAATTGATACAGAGGATTTGTACATACAGGTGACTTTAATAAGCAGAGGATTTTTTTTTATATTCCGTGAAAAATACACTTAATTTATATAAAATAATATCATGGTTGGCCAAAAAATTGTACGCACAGTGCATCCGTGCGTATGCCTAGTTACGCCCATGCTATAGGTATGCGGATTTAAAGGACGTGGGTTTATGAGGACGTCATACTTATAGGAACGCAAATATATAGGACAGCAGAAAAAAATCGGATCTATCGGTATTTAAATCTAAAAAGACGTTTTTTCCGTTTTTCCTTTATGTATCTATCGGTAACGGGAGTATAGGGACGTGTAATATTTTGGGACTAAATTTTATCCGTACGTACCCAATAAGACAAACACAATGGAATTTTACCTTACCTGGTAAGGGTTCTGTTTAGTTCAGGTTATTGCCATAAACACTTTTCCATTGACGGGCAAACCTACAAATGAGGGGTTGTTGTAGGAAGAAGCCATCTATACAGCAAAGGTTTATTTTATACTGGAGGTCACAGGTTGGAGGGGGGGGGGGGGAGGAGGGTCATATTAATTTTGTATATGATGCACTTTTTTACATTTACAAAGATGCATATCAATGTGAATAAAGAAACAGAACAGTCTTTTGCCACAACATTTATTGCCTTTCTGACAATACTACACACAATTGGCAAACATTGGCTAAGTGTTAGACTTATTTGTAGTTGCTTTTTATCAGAACATAATAATTTTATTCATATATACATAAACTATAAATCAGTTCTTTAAATGTCAAAAATAGTAATGACAATTACTAAATATGAAAGAAGTGAATAGTAAGCTAATACAAGATATGCCAACAACAGTTAGAGGTGCTCAAGGCATATATCACGAGGGTGGAAGCTGGTCTCTTATTTGATATAAGTAGAGTGAAAGTACTCCCCTAAAACCTAATAAAACATTTCACAACAGTCGCATATAACAACTCTAAAGCCAATTATGTATTTTCTACTATATACCACATGCCAACATAAACATTTATAAAAAAAAAAAAAAAAGCTAATACAATTCAAGGAATAACAGTATAATACATGTCTTTTGTATATGTAGTAAATAATCCACTGCCCTAGAGCCCAGTAGACATGATAGCATGCCAAGCCGTAGGGAATTCTAGGGGGTAGCAGTGCATTATTTATTATACACACAATTCGAAATTGTACATTTCCTAACTAAAACTCCTAATTTTGAAGGCGCTGATATCAGCACCATGGTGTGTATAATTCACAATCTGTGCATCACACTCAAGCTCAATAAACAGCTTCCACAGGACCTACGCTAAGCTCATATATATATATAATGTTGGTCTATCAGTCTTTTAGTCAGGGGTAATTCACCCAACACATGATCTGCTATTTGCACTGACACCCTGCAAACACAGGTTCTATCCTCTCTAGTGATACGGTCCCACTGCCCAGTCTCTATAGCCAGGTTGTGTGACAAAGTGCAGAGACCTGTGATTGTTAACCTCTTATGCTAAGTGTCTCTCAGTATGCAGTAATTCAATTTTCAATGAATTTCAAATTATTTCTTCTTCACAAAAGGTTCTTGTCTTACTAGCTACCCATAGGTTTCATGCCAAAATAAAAACACAAGTATGCTAGATATTATAAGAAAATTACATATAAAATCTTAAATTTTATTTTAAAAGTTTTTAAATCATTTATTATTCACAACAAACTAAATACATTGCTCTAAATAATAAACTAAGCTGTTAGTTTATTAAGTTTATTTCAAACCCATGATCTCACGTCAAATATAAGTCACAGTAACTACTATAACATGGTAATTGATAATGATTAAATAAAAAAATATGTGGTATTGGACATAATACAATTGAATACAATGTATGCTACACAAATACAAGAATTCAAAGAAAAAAGAACTCAAACTCACTAAGAGCATAATTACAATACAGTGGATAGCAGCAGATGTATTAAATAATGCTTTGCCCACAAGCCTGGTAAACTTGAAAGCATGCCCAACTATAGTGGGCTAGGGGGTAGGTGGTGTTAATCATGCTGAACATTATTTCATGCTGCATCAAAATTGCCATAAAAACTTATGTGCATTAACCTCATTACTTTCTGCTTTGTGTTTGTACATTGGTCAGCTTTGCTGTCTGTTTTTTATGGTAAAATCGGCCCTGCTTATCAAAACAGGATTGACATTTAATGAAAAAATACTTATGCACATTAAGTACACTGTTTTCATCAAAATTAACAATTTGGTAATTTTACACTGCCACCAGGAATGTTTGTTTCCCCTTCTCCATATAAAATTCTCATAAAAACATTATGAAGTCAATTTTTTGCCACAAAAGCAGACCAAATGGCAGAATATAGTTTCAAATAATATAACTATATTACAAATAACATAGTCATTGAATATTACCTGAATTGACATTTGAACAGATTTTTCTGCTAGCTTGGCATGTTGAATTTCTTCAAGTCTTATAAGGAACTAGTAGAAGTGGTTTATACAACATTGGTCAAAAGGTTGTCCCACCCCCATTTCCATGAACTTTAATTTACAAATGATCAGCTCACAGGTATAAATTGTTATAACTAGTGCTTTTTATTCAAGATACCATGTCCAACATGATTAATGGTTAAAAAAATACAAAATAGTGGTGAAAATATACACATTTTATACCATTTAGTCAATGTTTTAACAGGTAACTTCTCAAATCCAATGTTTCACTGTGATTTCTACAGATGTGAAGGATTGTCTATTAAATTGAAAAGACGCCATCAAATATCATCAAATTTACACACAATTAGCTTTAGGATGTGGTCGTTAAAGGTCACGTGCCTAAAAGCGTATGTGTCTACCGCGTACTGCAATTATCTCCTGTAGATGGCGCGACAAGCTTTCAACATGGGTAACAATTCTGTTCTGTGGGATATTGTCCCATTCTTCCTAAACAGCTTGGGGGAGTTGGTCCATGTTTTTATGGGGTTGGTTCTCCTCTGCATTACATACTCCAATTCATGTCACAGGTGATTAGTAAGGTTAATATCAGGGCTCAAAGATGGTGGTTCCGTCCTTAGAACATTGAGTTTCTACAACAAATCACTTGCCAGGCGAGAAGTGTGAGCAAGTGTGCTGTTATGATGAAGCCCAAAGTCAGTTCTTGAAGATCTTTACATCTGTGGAAATCACAGTGAAACATTGGACTTGAGGGGGTACCTGTTATAAATTTGACTAAATGGTAAAAAATGTGCATATTCACACCACTATTTTGTATCTTTTGAACCATTAATCATGTTAGACATGGTATCTAGAATATAAAGCACCATTAATAACAATATACACCTGTAAGGTGATCATTTGTTAATAAAAGTACATGGAAATGGGGGTGGGACAACCTTTTTGACCAATGTTGTATGCAATACNTTTAGGATGTGGTCGTTAAAGGTCACGTGCCTAAAAGCGTATGTGTCTACCGCGTACTGCAATTATCTCCTGTAGATGGCGCGACAAGCTTTCAACATGGGTAACAATTCTGTTCTGTGGGATATTGTCCCATTCTTCCTAAACAGCTTGGGGGAGTTGGTCCATGTTTTTATGGGGTTGGTTCTCCTCTGCATTACATACTCCAATTCATGTCACAGGTGATTAGTAAGGTTAATATCAGGGCTCAAAGATGGTGGTTCCGTCCTTAGAACATTGAGTTTCTACAACAAATCACTTGCCAGGCGAGAAGTGTGAGCAAGTGTGCTGTTATGATGAAGCCCAAAGTCAGTTCTTGAAGATCTTTACATCTGTGGAAATCACAGTGAAACATTGGACTTGAGGGGGTACCTGTTATAAATTTGACTAAATGGTAAAAAATGTGCATATTCACACCACTATTTTGTATCTTTTGAACCATTAATCATGTTAGACATGGTATCTAGAATATAAAGCACCATTAATAACAATATACACCTGTAAGGTGATCATTTGTTAATAAAAGTACATGGAAATGGGGGTGGGACAACCTTTTTGACCAATGTTGTATGCAATACTGGGAATCCAAGCTTCACTGATGCTTGGTTCATATCTTTAAATAAGTGAAAAAAATATCATACCTAAATACATAAGTTTAAAAAACATAGTTGGGTAATGGGAAACAAACAAATATTTTATGGCAGCATTACCCCTTAAAAGTATGTGTAAAACAGCCATTCACAGTATCTGATCATGTCCACTAGTGTGGTGTTATCAGTGTTTGCCTCTTAGGAAAATTAGTTGCTGGACCGAAAGTCCAGCCATCTTGAAAAGTAGCTGGGCCCCGTATCTCGAAAGCTTCGCTGTGTTGCGCACTTGGGCAAGCATCTCGATTCCATAACTTGCCCATACTCGTCCCATATAATACAATGTAGCCTCTATTTGATATAGCGATTCACAATACACGATGCTTTAGAGATACGGGGCCCTGGACTGAATGTCTGCCGGGTAGGAAAACTTCTCAGCCCATTCTGAAAGTTGTCAGCCCGGGCAGAAGGTCCAGCCTTAATTTCTAACACTGGGTGTTATACTTACATCAAACAGCCAGTCACAGTATCTGATCATGACCATTGTGCAGTGTTATACTTACATCAAACAACCAGTCACAGCATCAGACCATGACCATTGTGCAGTGTTATATTTACACCAGCCAGTCACAATATCCGATCATGACCATGGGTGCTGTGTGGTGTTATGCCCCATTTCCACAGACACCACTGGAGTATAGATTGACCCAACTCTGGGGGTATTGCAGTTAACTGAATGACATGTCCTTTCTTGTTTCCAACCTACATGTACAATCATCAGCTTTTCTGTATTCTACTTAACGGCAGGAGTGCTTATCTGTTTAGCTGAATCCTGGCAGAGTTGGATCGATCCATATAGACCGATCAATGCTGTCTATTGAAATGGGACCTAATATTTACATCAAATAGTCAGTCATAGAATTAAATGGCTGTCTTAACACTTTTAACTTTGGGAAATTTTCAATTGCTAAAGGAAAACAATTGTTTCTAATACAAAGCTCATAAATATTCAAACATATCAAATGTCAATCCTGTTTATATAAATTTTTGTTTATAGTCTGTTCAAATTCTTTACATGTGGGTATTCTTTGGTTTGAATTATTTGAAAATTGCCCCTTGGCTGTACATGTAACCAGTGAAGGATGAAAACACATCCCATCACTTTTTACTGCAAATCAGCACAATCAACTATTATCTTAAAGAAAACGGTATCATCTTTGATGTAGGCATGTGACGGGCTGTCCAACTGTGACAATGTAGCAAACATGGGACATCCGCTTGCAATATTCATCTCGTTTGTTGGCTTCTTGAATGAAGAACTGCTTGGATCAGGTCTGAAAGCATCAATGATGTGCTCCTTGTTATTCTGGTCCAGTAACATCAGGGTTACTTTCTGCCTGAAGGGCCAACGAAGAAGGGCATCATTGCTGCCTTTGCAGATAACAAAGAACAGAGAAACATGGGTCCCTTTCCCCATACCTAAAATTGACAATTTAATACTTTTATTATTACATACGTATCTAGTAAGTATTCTTTTCAAGCATATTTATATACATGTATAGAAAAATTGCTTTATACAGATCATAACAAGCCAAAAAAAAAAAAGAAGTAATAAGTAATAAGAAATAGTTATTGAACAGGTTCTTTTAAAGCACTATTTCAGTTTCAACAGATTTCCATTTGACAAAAGTAGTTACAAAGACTGAGAGGAAAATTTCTTACAATTTAAACTGAAGGATGGCATAAAATCTACCAGTATACAGACTTAATTATATAATTTCCTTTGTATTAAAGGGCAAAAAAGGTTAAGTGATCACAACCTACCATCCCCATTAAGGTAAATTCTTGCACACATCTTGTATCCGCTCTTTGAAGTGTAGAAAGGAGGAGAGTAAAAACTGGGCACTCTGTTGTTGACAGCATCTTGTCTTCTCCGAACAAAATCAGTTATCTTCCAAACCAGGATTCCATTGTAGGTTGCCCGTTCCAAATTTTCAACTCGAGTATCATTTAGCTGCAGGGTGTCATCTTTGGAGGCGAGGGATCCCTCAAGCATGGTGATTTTACTTGCACCTGCTTGCAACATCTCTTGATTCTTCTGCCGTTCTCTCTCATAGAAGTCAATCTGCTGGAACAGGACCTCCAGTTTCCTGGCAAGATCAATGATGTTTTCCTCACAGCGCTGGAGTTTTCTCTCTCTTTCATCCAACATGGCTTTCACCTCATTTACTTCTCGGTTTTGTCCAGGCGTGGGTCTCGTACCGTGATCTTGTTCAGCTCGTATTATCTGTCTCTCCAGTGCAGTCAAGGTGTCTCGCAGTGCTTTCAGTTTGCTGTCCAGTTCATGACACTGATTATCAGCATCTCCATTTTGCTGCTGGGCATTGACTTCTGCTTGTTGTAGATGCACCTCCTCCATTTCACGGAATAAAAGTTCCAAATGTTCACTTAGGTTATCTTTTAAATGGTTCCCAATTTCCTCTGGTCTTACCTAAAATAATCAGAACAGCTGTCTTTACAGTTTGCTAATGTACAACTACGTAAGTAAACTGAATACAATAATGATACAATTGCAAATGCAACAATATGTCTGATAGGTCTCTTTACTCATGTGGAAATTGATAAAACCACACATGACTGCAATGCAGAAAAACTTAAATAGATGTTGTCCAACAAACTATGATACAATGCACCATGTTGTCTTTTAACATTTGAATATTTACATTATGCAACAGTTACTTATCTATAACAATTAAGCCAGCTACCTTTACATGTTTTTTTTTTTGACTTATGGAAAATGTCAACAAGAACAAAACTAGTAATAAATTGTTCACAAAGAACAAAAATATTGACATGGTTTTCACAATAAGTTTGTACCAAAAAAAAAGAAAAAAAAAAAAAAAAAAAAAACCTACCTTTTTNAGAAAAAAAGATAAAGGATGATTTTGGACTATTTTTGAATTTGTGCCATAATCCATTTGATTGAAGCAGTAACCATTCAACAAAGAAAATCTCCTTTTTGTAAATTGTTCTTATATTTATATGATTGCATTATTAATTTCCGGTTTCTAGCGGTGATTAACTCAGAGATGAGTAAACGTAAGAAGTTAGAACAACTGACTCAAAACTCTCTGAAGAAAGGTCATGTCAAAGTTGATGAAGTTCTTATACGACAACAAAATGAAAGGTAGATTCATAAAATTCAGTTATTCAAAAGATTGAAGAAATAGAAAATTTTCAATGCCATGCAAACAAAAGCTTCAAATGTTGACACACATTTCAAATATTTAGATAATTTACTTTTTTTTTCATTAAGTAATTTTACACAGTTTGGTGTTATGTACTATATTGGTGTGTCTTTTTCATCTTCAAACTTCTAAAAATGTTCTTTCTTTTAATAGGCAGAGACTACATGAGGAGTATGACAAGCAAGTTTCAAATGTTTTGCAGCAGCTGGAGACAGACTTGGAAAAGACAAAAGAGCAAGAGGAGAAAATACAGGTACAGAGGATTTGCACTTGGAAAGTTAATGTTAAAGTTCTCTTTAATGTGCAAACTGTCTTGGATCTGAATGCCCCTTAAATTTTTTGTACTTGTAAAAACATGTAAATTAATAAACTTTTGTTTTTGTAGAATGTATTCCGACAACAACTGAAACTTACTCAGCAGTCCAGAATCATCCAAAGCCAGAGGCTAAAAACAATCAGACAGCTACATGAAGAATATATAAAGGTATATATACAGGTTCAAATTCCTCCTTTATCACAACCCCAAAAACTGATACGTATATAGAAGGCCTACTATTTTTCAAATTGAACATATTTTAGGCATATGAAATGCTAAAATTAAAATAAATAAGCACTAAGTTTTCAGAACATGAAAGGCAAAATATCTGATATTCTACAGGATACTGTCACTTTACACATTAAACTCTGTACTTTAGGGGTTGGAAAAAGTTGAAACAGATCACCAGTCACAAGCAGCAAAAGTCCAGGCTGAACTGAAGAAAGAAATGGCACTTCTTCAAAAGAAAGCATTGATGGATACTGTAAGTTTTCAAATGATCACAATAAAGTATTTCACAATTATACACGACTTACACTACAAAAATCTCTTCTAGAAATACTTTATAGGGTAAGTTAGATTTGAATGTATTATAATAATAGCATTTAATAGAATTTTTATCTTTTTATTTTTCAGCAAAAGCAGACAATGGACACTTTCAAGAAGTCCCTGCAGAATATGCTGTTCTAGATGGTTCAGTTAAATCTGAAATGACAGGTGAATGGCTTGCTGGGGAAAGTTTTGGTTCCCATTAAGGCAGACAATATTTTCAATCAGTTGTATGCTTTTTTCTCTCACCTTTTTATGCAAGGCATATTTACATGCTCCACTATCTATGTAAATTGATCTTTCTTTGGCTTAGAAAATAATAACAAGTATGGAGTTTACTTAAATATTTTCTTCATTCAAATTTTATAATTTATATCAAGAGTTTTTCACTTTGTAAATAAGAGAAGAAATAAATATTGAATTCTCAGTTTCTAATTTTTGCATATTCACATGGTAACAAAAATGTTGTTACACAAAACGAAAATTAAATTGCTGGCATGGTTTCATACTTAGTTTTTGTGGTCTAACTTTACACCCCCTTTAAAGCAGAAATGACTATTTACAGATGTATTTTAAACTTGGGTTTCCTCTTGCAAAAATAGAAGTTGAAAAGGTTCTGAACAAGTAAATAAAAATGTTTGCCAGCTGAGCAGTTGTTTACCTGCCTGACACCCTTCATACCAGTTGAACAACAAAGAGTCGGGTCTGGTATCTAAAGCATCATAATTTCGAAGATATTTTTTCTAAGCAACTGGGCTTTCATGTTGATAGAGCTAGTATTATATCAAAAACATTTTTGAAGCTGTATATCTCGTGTTCTTTTATTTCACAGTGGAAATAATGATTATAAATACAAGAAAAATCTAATCAACAGTGGGAATTACACAACAAAAAGAATTATTTCCTGTACATTATCCAAGTCACTTAAAAGACTAACATGAAAAAAAATCATTTTATCTTTGATTATTCACTAAAGACTTCAGATGGGACCTGTAAAAAAACTACCCTTTAAGGTCTAATGGAGTAGTTTTCCCATTTCCAAAACACACTAGTAAGTTTCTCCCAGTCCGTGTTTGCTTCAATAAACTCAAATGTAGCTATAAACACCCCTTGTACTGCTTCCTTGATAACAACTTTGTAGCTCTAATCTTCCTCCAGTTCTCAACATCAGGCATCAATCTGTGACCAAGCTAACTACTTTTTCCATGTCACCTGCCACCCTCTTCTGCTTGACTGGATGAGACCAGGAGAAATATGAACAGCGGCACCAAATACATCCACTGAAAAAGCATTAACACAAGTTTGAGCATTAATTAGATTTGTTTGAGCAGTAATTAGAGTTTCCACATAATAAAGAATTTTTTTTAGCAATCATTCTAAAAATAAAACAAGTTGATCAAACATTGCCTTAAGGACACACCAATCCCAATGTCTACTTACATATTTTGCAAAGAAAGACCTATTATCTTGTTGCTGGCCCTTAGCTTTTTCTGCCTTTTCTTGTTCCATTCTCTGTATGTAACTCTGAGTGTCAGGCCTGGAAAGAAATGATTTTAAGCCATCTACCATTTCAAAATGTCATGTGCAAGATGTTTGACATATGTGTTAAGTCGATATTATTGATCAAATTCAAATCTTTTTAATTATTCTCTAAAATTTTGTAATTATTAATGACTGAATTTAACTCAGGTGACCAGTTTAAAGGCTAAACAATTCTCCATTAGAGATTCAAAATTCAACAATAAATACATTGTAAACAACACACAGAAATGTAATAAATACCATTTTACCACCAAAACAGCAGTTATTGCAATTTTCATGAAATCTGTGCTTGCCATAAGACCATGTGAACCTTTATAGATGGCTATGCTCCTAACTTTGAATGTAGGAACAGAATCATAAATATCCCAGGAAAATCCATTTTATAGCACTTTTTTTTTTTGGCAAAAATGAAGAGCGATTATCCCTTTCTGTTTCTTGACTGAACTGGCATTTTAAAATTGGCTTTTTAAGAGTGTAAGAATCAACAGCATAAAAAAACAAATTGAAAAGACTTACACAGGTCCTGGTAGAGTTTGTGAAATCTCTACTGTAATGTTGAACTTTGACAGCTGTGAGCTTGGCACACTGTTATATTGACAGTAGGGAAGATAAGTCCTGGTTGAAACTCCTAATACGTTGCCAGATGTATCAACATTCAAGGTAATGGTTTCTGACAGACGTGTTTCATAAAGAGCACACTGCAATGATTAAATAAAAAAAATGTGTGTGTTAAAGAAAATAAAATAAGAGATTGCTGGTCAAACCATTTCATCTGACTCTAAGACTTACACTATAATAAAAGTAAATTGTCATGAACACAAAACTTGTAGCAGATATTTGTAATCAACTCAATAACATTCTGAACATAAACAATGTAACCAATGAAACTGATCTGTTTATCTCTCCTGCACATATGTATTATAATCAATGTCTATGCATTTAAAACTACTTACAGCTTTCATAAATGTTGAGACATAGGACAAAGGCCCGTCCACCTGTCCAACCTTGGTTGGGACCCTGAGCCTGTAAATGTCATCATTCTGAGCCAATGCCTGAAAGATTAAAACTTGTTGTGAACACAAAAAATCCATAATTTGCACGCTTTTCTAAAAAAAGTAATAATAATAATAATAATAATAATAATAAATAAAAATGGATTGTTTTTTAAAATGTATTCTCACATTAGAGAATATACAACTTAAATTAATGTTTAATAATAAATGAATTACAGCACTGCAAAAATCTCCATACCTTCAGCATATTTTTTTCTTCATCGTCTAATGCCTTTTCTTGAGAAAAATGTGCTTCATTTCCCTTGAGGGAGGCAATGCTAATGACACCTTTCCTTGTAAAAACTGCATCAGGTCCTAAAGATTGTTTTGAAAAATAAAAATAATAATAATTCAACATGGGAAAGGAGGAGTTAACCGTTGTTTCATGCGTGTGTGTGTGTGTGTGCGTGTGGCTGTGGAGAGAGAGAGAGAGAGACAGACAGACAGAGAGCTCTGTACCTGTTTGAAATGCATACTCCACTGGTAGTGATGTAAGTCCTTCAAACTCGTCATCTGACTGGTAATTAGAAAGAAAAGGTTAACTTGGTAAAAATATTGAGTAAAAGTTTTACAAAAAAGGGCCATTTCTCATTACTACTGTATGTTACTCATAAGTAACAATGTTCTTGAACGACCAAAGGGAGAGGTTACACTTCTATAGTTCTCAACAAATGATATCTGAGTGCACGGGGTCTAAGCATCAATGAACTCTAACTGTAAGACACACACACGTACATGTACTTGTAAGATCATGAATCAATCATTAACTTAGTATAACGATTAACGTCAGTGGGCATATGCAGCTATGAATGAATTAACTGAATGACGCATAAAGACAGGAAATGCTAATCTTCTCTCTGTCTCAGCTGAACTAAGCATCTTACCTTCAAAGCGCTTAAAAGCTCTAGAACGATGAACAAAATGTTAATTAAAGATTTACTCGTGGGCGCTGCCATACTTAATGTCACCTTGCATTGTGGGTAAATTTCGTCCTATGAAAAGAATTGTAACAAAATCAAACCAATCGCAAATGCCTTTGCATAAAGGCGTAGGGATTGACAAGCAGAGAAAAATTGCAGACGGACACCTGCGGTGGTCTGTTAAATCATGTTAATAATGGACAGTGAGGAAAGCGCCTTAGACGATGACTTTCTTCTGTATTCAGTGCTTTACTCTTCGATCACAGTAGTCTTTGCTATGGCTGTCTTGTCGAAGTTTTTGACAAATGAGTTCAGATTTGGAATCCGTTCTGTTCTGACTTTGGCTATTTTATTTATTGGAGAGCCATTATGCCAATTTCTAATGAAAGGGCCTCAAGGTGTCATGGCTTTTGGACTGGGCTGTTTACTTGTGTATTCTTTATTGCCGTCCGGTCACTTACCTGCAACAAAGAAGGCAGTGCTTATTACAGGTGGGTTTATTAATGTTATTTTGATAGTCTAAAGAGAACGGCATTGGAAATGGATACTATTGATTTGCCAGGCGTAACAACCTCACACGTGTGTACACTACATCCACATTTACTGTCAAGTACTAGTTTGTTTTGAACTCTGTGTGTGCCCTGATGAGGACAAGCTCAGCATAGGCAGGAAATGAAATTCTGTTGTTCCCTGAAGCTAGTCAAGTACACCACCCTACCCTACCTTAGTTACAGAGAGAGTTTTATCACTAGATATTCCCGGATATTTCTCTGGCTGATTTCTTTACTTTGAGAATTTTTGCTCAGAATTGAGGTTGTTAACGGTTAACAAATGACTTGTGGCAGATATGGAGTGGGATGGAGGAGGGGGGGGAAAGAAAGACGTAACATGCTGGTTTTAATACGTTGGGATGGGTCGTACTGAGAAGGGTCACCCCAGCATGAATATGAACACCGCTTAACAGATCAGTCTGTGAGAATGTTTTTTATCATAATCTTATACATCCAACAGTCCAATGAGTTGAAATACTGTTTTGTCTGGGGCACATCTGGTGAGCCAATATAGACAAATTATTAATAGGAATGTATCCAATATGGATTGCAGGAAGATCACGTCCCTTTGTTTTCAGACAACTGGCATGTGATATTAATATTCACAATGTTGTACTCCACAGAACTTTTCTGTTTTAATCTTTCCATAGTTTATTTACATTAGTTATGTTTTATTGTCTCTGTCTGTGCCACATGCTTTTCAACTTGCAGGCCATCTGTGCCACCAGCATCTGAGAACCTACTGGCCTGAACCATAATTCACTGATCTAAGCCAAATTTCAAAAAAAAAAGAAGAAAAGAAAATAAAAACACACACACACACACACACACACACACACACACACACACACACACACACACACACACACACACACACACACACACACACACACACACACATC